ACTACAACACACAGGTAAACACCAGGTACAGAGGACAGAGGTCAGAGAAACTACAACACACAGGTAAACACCAGGTACAGAGGACAGAGAAACTACAACACACAGGTAAACACCAGGTACAGAGGTCAGAGGTCAAAGAAACTACAACACACAGGTAAACACCAGGTACAGAGGACAGAGGTCAGAGAAACTACAACACACAGGTAAACACCTGAGGCCTGTACTACGAAGCCGGATTTCCACTTAGCGAGCTAACTTCAGGGAAAACTCTGGGTTTCCGGTCCTACGACGCTGGTTCTCTTCTTACCGGGCTAGATCTCCATGGTAACTTATGCTGAATGGCTAGCCTGGTCCGGAGCAGGTTAGGTTCCAGGCTAAGAGATCAACTCAGTGAAAGCACCCCCTGCTGACCAATCAGAGCTCCGTGTGCGGAGTTTAAAGCGATCAAGTCATATTACAGGATAGAGGAAATACAGAAAAACTGCCGTTGCAGGAAAGACGGCCGGCAAAAATCAACTGACTGTGTGAACGTGAACATTAATAGAATATCCCCTCCCATCTTCAGAGCAATCTGACTATTATAACATTAGCGTTAAGAAAGCTTACTTAAATATCTGCCACGACATAAGTAACCGGATCAGAGTAACATTAAGTACAGTCCGCGGCACTGTGAGTGCAGACGTCGATGTGTCCCATTATCATTCATATCATATCACATCATAATGTATCATATATTTCCTTATTTGAGTCAGCTTCTTGAGCCGTATCTGGCCGTGCAACACTCACAGTGTCACATACTGTATGCATGATCGCGTTTGTTTTGGGTTAGTTAAGCCGGGTAACTCAAACATATCCAGGGTATGTTGAACTGGATTCGTAGTACAGGCCTCAGGTAAAACTCACAGAGGTCAGAGAAACTAACAACACACAGGTAAACACCAGGTACAGAGGACAGAGGTCAGAGAAACTAACAACACACAGGTAAACACCAGGTACAGAGGTCAGAGAAACTAACAACACACAGGTAAACACCAGGTACAGAGGACAGAGGTCAGAGAAACTACAACACACAGGTAAACACCAGGTACAGAGGACAGAGGACAGAGAAACTACAACACACAGGTAAACACCAGGTACAGAGGACAGATGTCGGAGAAACTACAACACACAGGTAAACACCAGGTACAGAGGTCAGAGGTCAGAGAATGCTTTGCATTAACTTGAACTATCCCCTTTATTTAAAGCAGTATTTTGAACCTTACTCGTCAAATTATCAAGTTAGACACTCTGTCCAGATGTATTTCTCTGTCCCCTCTGCAAACAAATGTATTGTCAGAAGAGCGTTGATGTTCAAAGCCCCAACAGACTGGAATACTTGACCTGCTGCTATCAGATCCCTGTCATCATTGGGTACGTTTCAGCATTCTCATCTCACTTTCAGCTGCTCTTGTTATTGATGAAACTGATCTATTAGACACTACTGTCTATCAAACTGTATGATTGGATGTATTACTTCATGCATTTTACTTAACAGACTGTACGTGGTTTGTCCTTGTTTGTCATGCTTTGCTTTCTGTTATTTTGTTCATGTATGTCTGTAAGACGTTGCTTCTGTGTATACATTTCTATATACACAGGTAAACACCAGGTACAGAGGTCAGAGAATGTGTGCTTGAACAAAACATGAATATCGGAAGCTTTTATCAGCAGTTAGAGGACAAACTGCTCCTCAATGAGATGTGTAGTATACTGATATATTAATATTAATACCTGGTTGTCTGGGATGTTTTATAACTAATGATATACTAGCGATGCAAGTTCTCGCCTCAAAAGAATCAGAGATACTTTATTGATTTACTTCATTCTGTGGATGTAATCTGTGTATACTGTACCGGCTTGGTGATGTCGAAGACCACGATGGCGGCCTGAGCTCCTCTGTAGTACATGGGGGCGAGGCTGTGGTAGCGCTCCTGTCCCGCCGTGTCCCAGATCTCAAACTTCACTGTGGTGTCGTCTAAACACACCGACTGAGCCAGGAACGCCGCTGAGCGAGAAGGAGGGAAATGACAAGTTACCAGGTGCTCTTCAAACCTTTGAACCACAACAGCAAAACCATAGCAGCTTACAAACTGGTGCAGTATAAACCCAGCTTCATTTATCCAGGCGTAAGCTCGCTAGCTCTCTACATTTTCACTCTAACCATACTATTCAGAACCCTTACCTTATTCAAAGGTTAAGTGAAAGTCTTGTGAAGTATTGGGCACATGAGTGGATGAATGGTACTTGGATTAAAACATGTAATTTCCTGAGCTCTGCCAAGTGTCTTCCCCTTCATTTATTTACAGTACACACATCTGTTTACAATCCACACATATTTATATTTTATGACAACAGGCAGTATTTCATTCCACTGTAGTTCATTTTACAATCTTTGTTATGTTGTTCTTTTTTACATGCATTTTAACTTGCACTATTGTGTCATATGCACACATTTTACGTCTTTTTCTTTTATGTTGTAAGTGTATTGCATGTTGCATTGTTGGAAAAGCCTGGACCTTAAGATTGTCATTGCCAAAAGTACACAGTAGGTATTCTGCGTATACAATAAATAGTCAACCCTGCAATATTGTCGCAATATGAAGATAAGCGTATTTTATCAGACCTATTAACACACACACACACACACACACACACACACACACACACACACACACACACACACACACACACACACACACACACACACACAAACACACACGCTGGCGTCTCTTCACTCTGTTTTATCTGAGGGAAGAAGTCACAGGTATATATGTTGGTGAAAGATTATATTACGTACACTTTACCCTCTTCCTCATGGCAGGAAGTGCCTCCTCCAGTGCATCATTAAAGTCTGGAGATAAGAGTTTTATAAGGAAGGCTGGAGATTTTTATTTGTATTTGATTTGATAGGGAGACAATGCAATTTAACATCATTCCCATATAAAGCATGTGTTTCAAATAATGTGAGAGTGTATAGCTGCTGCTCATTATTCAACTTAAGTTGAAGTGGGCCTTAATTTGTGTAGTGTAGCAAAAATATCAACCAGTATAAAAAAAATCTATATTTGTAATTTTTTGCCACTTTCAATGACTGTAATAAAAAAGACAGACAGGGTTCGTACGGGTGCTGGAAATCCTTGAAAATGCTTGAAATTTCATGTGGTGTTTTCCCGGTTTGAAAAGTGCTTGCATGTTGGATAAAGTGCTTGAATTTTGGATAAAGTGCTTGAATTTTGGTTAAAGTGCTTGGATTTTGGTTAAAGTGCTTGAATGTTGGTTAAAGTGCTTGGATTTTGGTTAAAGTGCTTGAAATTGTACTTGTTTTACTTTTATAATAAATTGCTGTCTGACTGAATAGTTCGCTTTTTTCGATAAAAAAAAGAGAAAGAAGTCGGAGCGAGCTTAATTACTTTTCATAAAAAGACAGCTCCACTCCTTTTATACATATTTTGATATTTGAATCCTTCTTTTTTTCAGTTGCAGATTTTCCGTCTTCAGATTCCAAACAATTATTTTTTCAGTTTCAAATCTTCTTTTTTCAGGTTTCACTGTTTTTTTCGCTCTCAAACTTTTGGCCCTGATGTTGCTTTGGGGGGGCGGGGCTTACCAAAGAGTAGTTTTGCATCCTGAGTGACAGGCCTCCCTCTGTCATGTTGCCTTCATGGATGTAAGGTGTAAAGAAATATAACTCAACACTTTCTATACACAATACTCCCGTGATTGGTGGGAAACCAAACTGATACCAGCGTCAAAGTTCCGTTAAGCGAGCTGTTGAGCATCGTAGTTCAGAATCAGATCTGAATCAGAAAACCTTTATTAGTCCCACAGAGGGGACATGTATGTTGTTACAGCAGAAAAGAGCCACTGACAGCTTAATGTTACATATGTTACATGCAAAAAAAAGTATTTAAAGTAAAAAAAAAAAGTGATATGATAAAAAAATATAATAAAATAAAAAGTTATACAATTTACAAAATACACATCCTGTAACAGTTCTGAGGATTTAGCAGCCAGGTATATATTGCAGTTTTTAACGGCGTATATATATATATATATATATATATATATATATATATATATATATATATATATATATATATATATGCCGTTGAAATTGTGCAATTGGCAGATAAGCAGCAATGAAACTTGAGAATAGCTAATCATTTATCAAGTTCCTTCAAAACATTACTATGTATATATATATATACAGGGTTGGGTGAAGTGTTTTGCCCAAAATACCCAAATTACCTCATCTGCACTTTTCCCCGCAGAAACTACTTTAAACCATCAGTGTCACTATTGTGGGGATGTAGGAATGTACCTGTGTCTGGTGCGGAGCCTCCCTGCACTTTAAATCAATTGATTTGCCTTTATTTATCGTATTTTCTACTGTTAATGCATTGTGCTCATGTCGGGTGATGCGCTCCCTGGAGCCCTCCTGTGGGGAAACTTGGAACTGCACTTAAATCACTTGGTGCTTTTTAAGCCATTTAAAATAGTTTTTCTCACTTTTAAAATACTTTCTGTCCTAGAAATGATTTTTAATCAGTAATACCATTATTTAGAGGCTGCATGAACACGAATTTGAGCATCCCTGCACACTTTCCTCCTATTTAAAACACTTTTCAGTGAGGTGCTGCAGCCTTATTCTCTCGTTTCTCTGCCCCTATTTAAAACACTTTTCCTCCTATTTAAAACACTTGCTAGAGGTGACATCTCTATTTCAGCCCTGATTTTGGCACATCTTGTAAATTAGTTAAATGTAGCCTTGTGTTTTTATTTAAGTCGCTGTTCATTGTTTGTTATATAAAGCAGATGGAATTATATCCTATGGACGCTGAGGTGTGGATGTTGTGTCCTTTTGATAACTTTGTTGAGCTTGTTTTTAGCTGCATGTGTTTTTCTATCTCACTGAACAAAGTCCCTGTATGTGAACTGCTTCAGCTGATAAGGCTGGTTATGAATCAGAGGGAGGAGCTGTAGACAGAGAGGGAAGTGAAAGTAGGAAGTCAGACTTGTCAGACTGCCAGACGCCATTTTACAGCTCGACAGGAGGAGAACAACAGGGTGAGTGTTAACACTAGGATCTGCTTTTCAACACATTTATTATTTACTCTGTCAAACTGGATGTCAAAAAATAACTTATTGGTTAACAATCTGCGTCCTAGAGTCCATGAGACTTCTGCAAGTGTTGTACACTTTTGTTATTTCCTGTTTTCTGATTCGTCAGAGTTACAACAACAGTTACAACAGTTATAACATGTGACAGCCCAGCGCAGTCAAAATGGAGAACGGCCTGAAGTCTGACTGATTTCATGTGTTTTAACCAAGTTTATTATTAAGATGGTTGTGTGTGTGTGTGTGTGTGTGTGTGTGTGTGTGTGTGTGTGTGTGTGTGTGTGTGTGTGTGTGTGTGTGTGTGTGTGTGTGTATGTGTGTGTGTGTGTGTGTGTTCTCTCAGACTGAAGAAGATGAGTGATTTAAAAGATGAGGAAGAGGACAAATCTTCAGTCTCCAGCGGTCTGTCTCTGAAGAGTGACCGGTCTATGGGCATCCTTCCTCCAGTCTTCGGTAATGAACCTGGACCCTCAGACACAAAGTAAGAGTTTCTACTGTAAACTGACCTGAAGAGGATCCAGTTTGTTGTCATTTAAATATAGCATGATAGGTCCACTTTAAGCAAATAAAATGCAAATATGTAAAACGTTTCACACTCGAATGAATTTTAACAACAGAAACCCACAATCACGACTCAACAACTCTAAAGATCTTTAATTAGGTGAACAGTCATAGATCAAAAGCTGCTCTTTAAATAAACTAATAATGTTTAAAACATGTGTTGTTTCCACAGACAGAGAGCAGAGTCTACGGTCTCCATGTGGTCTCTGAAGAGTGACCGGTCTATGGGGGAACCTCTATGGTTCAGTAATGAACCTGGACCCTCAGACACAAAGTAAGAGTCTCTCCTGTAAACTGACCTGAAGAGGATCCAGTTTTGATGTAATGTAATATATTAAACTGTTCTTTAATGATATCATGTGAGCAGTTTGTAAAGGACAAACGCAGCAGAGTAAGCTAACATTATCTCAGGATATTTCAATATGCAATTATATTATCATTGTATCTGTGTATAAAATGGTTTTAAATAGCAACAATGTTGATAAATACTGATTTAAAAAACTATATATATTGTCCAAAACATTATTTAACTACTTGGGCATATCTATGATATGTCTTTTTAAGATGTTTATTAATAATAGTGATAACCTGGTGAGCTGGTTGTATTTAGCATTAGCAGATAAAACAGAGTTTTGTGAAATCACATGTAGAGTCAATGCAAAGACCCAGATCCGTGCCTGGCAACACGAAGGAAGTGAAGATGTTAAATTCATATCACCTGCGTATTCGTGCAGCGTGACACATTTCAACTTGAGTGTAAAGTTTGTGACGCTCTGTTACAAAAACCTGTCAGTGTTGAGATTGTGCTCCTGGGGTCTCTGACGGTCTGAGGGGAATCAGAGAGGAGAACAGAGCTCTACAGCAGCTCATATTAAATCAGGGTTATTCATGTTCCTGTATAAACCAGAGACTGTCTGTGGTGCTAACAATATAGTCACTGCTGTACTTATGACTTCATGAAGTTACTCTGAGTGTTGATGGAGCAGCTAATGTTAGCCTAGCTTTAATCAAACCCATCTCTTCAGAAAAAAACATTAAAAAATGTTATGCTCGTTGTGTTGGAGACAGACCTGACAAAGCATTAACTCAGGCTTTTTACAAATCAGTATCATTCTGTTGTTATTTAGGCATCCTTTCCATATGTTTATTTCTATGAATTCACAGCAGATTCTATGCAAGTTGGGTTTATAGTGTACCAGGTTAATACAGCTGTGTGTGTAGATACAGGGAACATGTGCTCCTCTGGGGGATGAATCCAGACAGGATGCTCTCTGGTTTTATGATCATGTGAATTGTAAGCTATCTACCTGATCACAAGGGTATATATTATATAGACCTTTTTTTAAATATCAAACTAGAATGTGCCCCCTTGTTGTACCTTTGGTGAGAATCAGCCCCTCTGAAGTAAAGTGCTATAAAGGATGTGTTCCTCTCCACAGAGGGAAGAGGAAGAGTGGTGTTCCTGTGGAGGAGCATCTGTCCAGCTGTGCTCTGTGTCAGGACGTCCTGAAGGATCCAGTCTCTACCAGCTGTGGACACTGGTTCTGCAGACAGTGCATCACCTCATACTGGGAGCAGAGCCCTCCATCAGGAGACCCCTCCTGTCCCCAGTGTGGAGAAAGATCCAGAACCAGAGCTGGCCTGCAGACAGCCAGTCAGACCAGCTCTGTACGAGGTAAGAGGCCGAACTCATGCAGCGTCTTATTCCTCTTCCTGGTTCATTTTTTTTTTATTAGGTATTCTGTTGAAGAACAAAGACATTAAAATGTTTATAAAACATTTAAACTCAGTCTGTTTTTATTAGTTTTATTGTTATATTCTCAAAAGCATTTTCTTATTCTCTCCTGTTTCCTTCTCTTCCAGCAGATAGTGGTCTGCCGGAGGTTTTAGATGAACATAGGCTCAGTCTGAGGAGGAGATTTGAACGTGTGGCTGAAGGAACTGATGAAAGTGAAACCAGCCTCAACAGGATCTTCACTGAGCTCTACATCACACAAGGCCAGAGTGAAGAGGTTAATACCCAACATGAGGTGAGGCAGCTGGAGACAGCTTCCAAGAAAGAGAGCCTCCATGACACTCCAATCAAGTGCCAGGACATCTTTAAAGCCTTACCTGACCAACAGACTCTCATCAGAGCGGTCCTGACCAACGGAGTCGCTGGAGTTGGAAAAACCTTCTCAGTGCAGAAGTTCACTCTGGACTGGGCCGAGGGTTTGGGAAACCAAGATGTCAGTCTGGTGATCCCGCTCTCCTTCAGGGAGCTGAACCTGATCAAAGGTGAGCAGTACAGTCTTCTCAGGCTGCTCCATGTTTTCCATCCAACCTTACAGAAGGTCACAGCAGAGCAGCTGGCTGTCTGCAAAGTGCTGCTCATCTTTGACGGCCTGGATGAAAGCAGACTTTCTCTGGACTTCAGAAACAATGAGGTTGTGTCTGATGTCTCACAGCAGTCCTCAGTCAACGTGCTGCTGACAAACCTCATCAGGGGGAAGCTGCTTCCCTCGGCTCTCGTCTGGATAACTTCCAGACCTGCAGCGGCCAATCAGATCCCTCCTGAGTGTGTGGACAGGGTGACAGAAGTACGAGGCTTCACTGACGCCCAGAAGGAGGAGTACTTCAGGAGGAGATCGAGTGATGAAGACCTGTCCAGCAGAATCATCTCTCACATCAAGAGCTCCAGGAGCCTCCACATCATGTGTCTGATCCCAGTCTTCTGCTGGATCACTGCTGCAGTTCTGGACCACATGTTGACTACAGACCAGAGAGGAGAGCTGCCCCAGACCCTCACTGACATGTACTCACACTTCCTGCTGGTCCAGACCAAGAGGAAGAAGCAGAAGTATGAAGCGGGACATGAGACGAGTCCACAGCAGCTGACGGAGGCTGACAGGGAGCTTCTTCTGAAGCTGGGGAGGCTGGCGTTTGAACATCTGGAGAAAGGAAACATCATGTTCTACCAAGAAGACCTGCAGCGCTGTGGTCTTGATGTCACTGAGGCCTTGGTGCACTCAGGAGTTTGTACAGAGATCTTCAAAAGAGAGAGAGTGATCTTCGAGGAAACAGTCTACTGCTTTGTTCATCTGAGCATTCAGGAGTTTCTGGCTGCAGTCTACATGTTGCACTGTCACACCAACAGGAACACAGCGGTACTGAAGGACTTCCTGCAGAGAGACTGGGACTATGAGAACAGTAACAGCAGTGATCAGGATTACCCATCCCTGGATGTCTTCCTAAAGGGAGCCATGGTGAAATCCCTCAGAAGTGAAAATGGCCATCTGGACCTGTTTGTCCGCTTTCTCCACGGCCTCTCTCTGGAGTCCAACCAGAGACTGTTAGGAGGCCTGCTGGGTCGCTCAGACACCAGACCAGAAATCATCCAGAGAGCCATCAACAACCTGAAGAAGATGAGCAGTGATAATATCTCTCCTGACAGGAGCATCAACATCTTCCACTGTCTGACAGAGATGAAGGACCTCACAGTACATCAGGAGATCACAGAGTTCCTGAAGTCAGAGAACAGATCAAAGAAGAAACTCTCTGTGATCCACTGCTCTGCTCTGGCCTACATGCTGCAGATGTCAGAGGAGGTTCTGGATGAGTTGGACCTGATGAAGTACAGAACATCACATGAGGGACGACTGAGACTGATTCCAGCTGTGAGGAACTGCAGGAAGGCCAAGTAAGTCCAGATGTGATTAACTTTATAAACTAATGTGGATCAGAAGTTTCATTATTCAAATAAACACTATAACATTTCTGCTGTTTAAATACTGAGAGCAAAATAAACCAACACTGTTCTTCTATTTATTTATAATAATAGTTAAACTGAAGCGTTTCTCTCTTCATATTGAGTGATGGAGGCGACATGTCAAACACATGAAGGACTCTAGAGGTTTCTCAGCATGTGATCACACCACACAGCAGGACTTACAGTTATCAGTTATTAGTACTTTCTAGTAGTTTCTTTATCATTAAACACACACACGATTTTATCACAATGTTTTAGAGTTTAAAATCAGATCTATATCATATCCCACCAATACCAGAGTTATGTCTTAATGCTCATACAGTGAGAACATCTGATGGTATTCAGTTTAAAATATTGAAACTTTATTGGTTTGTTAACTGTGTTTGTGTGCACAATACATTTCCAGATGCTCAGAAGCCAAAACATCCATCATTCACATCTAAATATTAATTAACATTTAAATATGTACATCTCTAATATTGTCAAGTGATTTATTTCATTTCTGTTTATTTGGTAACAGTCAGTGACAGCAGGAGCACAGACATGTGATCAGATCACACTGACAACACATTACACGCTATTATCATATATTATTAAAATGGACTAACAGCAAATCTCAATCAGAACATATGTCAAATATTTTTTTCATCAAATGCTTGAGGTCATTATGTTTCCTCTTTTTTTTTAACACATGTTGTAATATATGTGTTATTATAGACTTGCTAGCTGTGGACTCTCAGAGACTCACTGTGAAGTCGTGGCCTCAGCTCTGAAGTCTGACCCCTCTCATCTGAGAGATCTGGACCTGGGTGGCAACGATCTTAAGGATTCAGGAGTGGAGCTGCTGAGTTCTGGACTAAAGAGTCCAAACTGCAGACTGGAGGCTCTCAGGTCAGTTCACTGACTGAACTTCATCTGTTTGTATTTATCATTTTCTGAATTTGAAAAAAATACATTACAATTATTTTTCCATTTTTGCTAATGACTGAATATTGATCAGAGTAACAAAGAGAAGGTGAATGTGTGAGGGAGAGAGTTTGAGCTTCCACAGACTCACTCTGTGCTCCGTGAGTCACTGGAGATGCTGTCAGTACTGATGAGCTGTGAGGGAGATGAAGGAGTTGTTAAACATCTGATCAAAGTTAAAGTTCCAGATTATCAGTGGATTGTTTCTACATCATCTCTGAGATTAAAGGTCTCCTATCATGCAAAATGCACTTTCTGATGTCTTTTCTACATCACCATGTGTCCCCGGTGCAACCCGGTATCACGGCAAGACGTGAACATGTGACGATCTACCATGCTGGGAGACGTGAATATGTCACGGTTTCGTCCCTTCAAACGTGACAGTTACACGGTATTGTTAACATGGCCCAACCAGTGGAGAAATACCCGGAAGTGCCAAGCAAATGGTCTACCGCGCCTATTGGTCGGTTTTTATTGTCAAAATGAGATGTTTTTAAT